GTGTCTTCTTGCGCAGTAATTGCCAATTTAATCTTCCGTTCTTGTCTCTTGATTTGTTGCGTCGAATCTGTCAGTCAAGCAGGGCGTGGTTTCCATGGGGATGAGTCAAGTGTAGTAGTCATTCCCCTCAACAGGTTTCTGAACTAAATTACCTGTGGCCTCCTTAACGGGGTTGCTATGGAAAGGCAATTAAATTCAAATTTTATTTGTCACGTACAGAGTCATACACAGTACGATATGTAGTGAAATGCTTGGACAACTGCTCGTGACCTAAAGAAAACAAAAAAGGAAAGGCTATGAATAAGATAGGAAATAAATATGAAAAATTAAAAAGGGTAAATTTAACTAGGAAGGAATAAAATATAAATTAAGGTTAAAAATGAAATAACTGTACAACACAAATTAGAATGAAAGGTAAATTTAACTGGGAAAGATAAAATATATAAATTAAAGTTGAAAATAAAATAACTGTACAACAAAATACACAATTACACTAAATAGTAATCGTGCCAGACTAATTCGTCAGGCCTTTACCTCTTAAATTAATAGGTTTTTCACCTCTTGCTCTGCCTCACCCCATCCCACTCTGCGATAAGCAAACACTGTAAATAGGTAAAGTTTTTCTAAGAATGCTTGATTCTCTTCTAAGTAGCAAAGGAGAAACACGATTAATATTTTGAAGTGTGTAAACAGCTGTGATTGGTTGCATGCATGCTTTATTTAGCCTGATACCATGGGCATTGTTTACTCTGAATCTGAAGTTTCAGCTTTGAGATTTCAGATTCCTCTAGGTTCCTTTTTAAACACTCGCCCGCTGAGACCCAGGTGCATCCATGTCGTCCTTCGAGCACAGACCAACGTCCTTTCCCCCACGACCACCTGCTCAGCTCACTAACTCGCACAGCACAAACACATGCCAAGTTCCCTCAGGTAATGCCAACATTACAACACAGGTGACTTGAAATTCACTGGGCACCGCCAATGTGGATGCTGATCCAGTTTGACTTGCGATCATCAGAGTAGGAACATCTGTGTGGGAGTAAATCCTCATTTGGAGCCTCATTAATTGTGTTTCTAGGTTGAAGATGTTTGAAAGTGGGCTGTCAGTGAAGAATACATGACCCGCTTCTATCGTCATTCACTGGATGGATTAAATCAACTCTCATCATTCCTGATCTACCGTGAGGAATGGGATTAATCAATCGGAGACAGTACATCTATCTGCAAATTAAAAACTGCGCTCATCAGTGAGCACGTAGCGCCGTGATTCTGCTGTTATTTTAGTGATGTGTTGAGTGGGTGGCTTCTTCGCAACAAGAAAACGTCAGTCATAAATGGCTCACATGCGTAAACTGACCAGTTTTATAACTAAATGTTAGAGTGACTATTCATTGCCATAAGATTTTTAGGAATTAAACTTTAAGGACCACTAGTTCATAGAAAATATATTTCTGGAAGTGGAAAACATTCAATATAACTTCCAATCTTCCCAGAACTGAACATCCCAGGAAATTCACCCCAAGGGCCAACCATGCAACGTTCAGAAAAATTGTAAAAGAAAATCCAAGTGCTCGAGCTCAGACTCTACAGCTCTCAATTAGATGCTAACATTTGTGACAATAATCTTTGGCCTTTGTGTCACTTTGGAGAAAACCAAACACACCTACTGTCAGCACAGTGGTGGAGGGAAGATGACTTTGGCTTGTTTTGCAGCCACGGGACCTTGGCAGCTTGTTATCCCTGAGTTGACCATGAACTCCTCTGTATACTAAAAAGGCCATAGCTAAAGAAAATGGACAATGATCCCAAGTACAGCTGCAAATCTACAACAGAATGAATGGGGGGGGGGGGGAGTCAAGATCCTGCAGTAGTCCAGTAAAAAGTTCAGGTCTGAACCTGAGTGAAATGCATTGGACCTTGAAAGAGCTATGTATATACAAATGTCCATAAACCTCCTTGAGCTGAAGCAACATTGTAAGGCACAATTTAAGAGAGCAATCAAGACACACAGAAAACAATGACCTTAAATTCTTCAAACAAAGAAGAACCACCCATGAGAAAACTTTCTTTTTCACATGACTATAAATTGGCTGTAGATGTGAATGTGAGCAAGAATGGTCGTAACCCTCAACTTGCTGGCCCTGTGATAGATCAGCAACCTGTCCAGGGTGCATCCTTCCTTTCCTCTTATGACAGCTGGCATAGGTTTTAGGCCCCCATGACCCTGAATAGGAAAACTGGAAGAAGATAGACGGGTGGAAAAGTTTAGGAAAAAAGATAGCTGGTGAACAGGTTCCAAATCTTAGAAAAATGTTATGATGGTGATTGAGTAAAACTCAAAATGATAGCTGAGCAGGTTTTAATTTAGTCTTGTATTTTTCATCTTTGGTTTGCTGTTACAAATGTCTTCAGTCTCTCACTCGTGTAGATGATGAGTGGCTCTTGAGAAAGCTGCCAGGGCTGCTTGATTATGGAAAAAACAAAACAAAACTTAATAGCACTTATTTTGCCCACTGCTGAGATCACAGTTGTTTAATACAATTACACACAAACTTTAGGAAAATTGTAGTCTTATATACTTTAAAAAGGTTGACCTTTGAGTTTAAATAACTTTAATAATAATTCAACTGAAGATGACTAAATAAATAATTTAGTCATTCAGGGCGATCGTGGCTCAAGAGTTCGTCTTGTAATCGGAAGGTTGCCGGTTCGAGCCCCGGCTTGGACCGTCTCGGTCATTGTGTGCAAGGCACTTCACCTACCGTCTACTGGTGATGGCCAGAGGGGCTGATATGGCAGCCTCGCTTCTGTCAGTCTGCCCCAGGGCAGCTGTGGCTACAACTGTAGCTTGCCTCCACCAGTGTGAGAGTGAATGAATAGTGGAATTGTAAAGCGCTTTGAGGGTCTTGAAAAGCGCTATATAAATGCAATCCATTATTATACATCATATCTTAATTTTTACCATCATAGTCACACTTGTGAGTTTCAGCAGAGACGCCAAATAAAGAGGACCGTGGTTTATGCATCATGGCAGCACAAACAGCATTATAAAACAGACAACATCTACTTGATAAAGCATTGTTTCGTCTTCTTAAAAGTTCACAAAAACAGTGTGTCAAAATCTGGATCATCGTAATAATGTTGCCAGTGGTTCCCCCACTCAGCTCTTTGACTGAACCGATATACTGTATTGTCAGTAATTGTTCAGTTGCATGGTGGGATTTAGTCACAGCTTTTGCTGACAGCTGATTATATCACTTTGTCACGACACTGACAAAGACATACTTTTCAGTGAAAGCTGAAATGATTTCACTTTGAACCAAGCTGCTTGTTCTTCAACTCTGAAAAAGGCGTACCTTTGCAGTCCAATGACATTTTTTTAACCTTAGTCTTGCTTCTGCACACATGGTAGATTTTAAATCAAACAATCAACATGTGATGTGCAGATTTTCGAAGTTTCCGATTTTTAATTCAGGGGGTTTAACAAAAGTAGTGCATCAACTGATTGTAAATTACAGCCATAGCATATGCAGAGAAATGAGGGTGTGACTGTATGCAGATAGTATGCACAGTGAAGGCTGCAAACATAGCCTGTGGATTCCTTAATCTAAATATAGCAGTAAGCGGTTTACACATTCACCTAATAAGCGGGAAATCTCTGGTTCGATCCCAAGGGGAGACACAAATCCCTTTGGGGTTAAATCAGGAAGGCCAACCTACGGTAAAAAATCTGCCGAATCAAACATGCGAGCTACCCCTGTGGCGACCTCTTGTGAATAACACTGCAGCTTAAAGTAGCTTTCTACAGGACTATACTGTGTACACAGATGCAGCCAAATACTGCAAAACTGGAACACCATGTCAAAGTGCAAATGGATAATGACCCAAAGAATACTGCAAGAGCAACCGAAGAGTTTCACAATGCACAGAAATTAGATATTCTTCAATGACTAAGCCAGTCATCCAATCTGAGCCCAACAGAGTGTGTTTTATAGTTTCTGAAGACCAAACTCAAAGCACATACACCCAAAAGCAGCAACAGAAGGTCGCTGAGCATCTCATGCAGGAAAAAGAGCATTTGATGATCTCCATGGGTTCTAGACTTCAGGCAGTCACTGACTGCGCAGGATTTTCACAGAAGTATTAAAAATAACCTATTTCAAATTATGCTGGTTTTGTTAGGGTCCCTGGGTCATCGACCCAGTGTTTTGTGTTCTTGGTTCTTTGATTTTGTTATTTCATTATATTCTAGCTTTGCTTTATGGGTTTTAGGATTATTCTTAGTTTAGGTTCTCTGGGTGGGGTTTGGTTAGAGTTTTAGTGTTCTGGTTTTCTGTCTGTGTTCCATAGTTGCTGTCTCCCCTGTCTGCAGTATCCCCACGTCCAGTCAGTGTCTGTGTCTGCCCTGGTCCCACGTCTCTGTTCCCTTTGTTATAGTGCCTGCCTGTGAGTCTGTGTTATGTTTCCTGTTTTACTTTGAAAGTCCATGTCTCATGTTAATGTGTCTGGTTTTGCTTCCCCTTGTCTCGTTAGGCCTGATTTGCCCCAGCTGTGTCTCCCTCCTGTTGCCCATTCCCTGATTGCTCCCTCTATGTATTTAAGCCTTGTGTTTCAGTTTGTCAGTGTCATGATCTACTCTTATCTTGCTGTGTAGGTGTATTTTGTAGTCTCAGTTTTGTTACACTTTTGAGTTCAGCATTAAAGCTGTACTGAACGTTTGTCTCCGGAGTCTGCACTTTGGGTCCTTTTCCTGCCTGCATACAGTCGTTTCATAACAGGTTTATCTAATTACGCCTCTGTAAATGGGGGATAGTGTATAAAAATGGCTGTAATTCTTACAATGCTTACTCACTGCCTGCAATCCACACATAATCCGCATATCGCCACACCCCCATTTAGTTATACAGCTGTAATTCTTAATCAGTCAATGCAGGACTTTTGTTAAACCCTTGAATTAAAGCTTTTTTCTTTTATCTAAAATCTCCCAAAAATGACAACAATTTCAGCATTGTCCAAATATGTATGTATTGAGTATTTCATATTCATTATCCTATGGATACACACAAACCGATGTTGTATTTTATTGTTTGTTGGTCCCTCTCTTACAGAGAGCAAACCTTGATGCTTTAGCTGATGTTTGGTTGGTCTTTAATGCCGAGCAGCTCTGCTGAGGGCTTTCTTGATCTAAAAAAAAAATACAGCAGAGATTATGGAAATCATGTATGGAAGGAGGTGTCATTGCAAAATATATGCAAAATTATGGAGTAATCAGTCCACTGCATAAAGTTTGAATCTTTTTACACACTGTACTATAATCAAAAGAAAGACATATATTTTTGTGTCCACACAGCTGTACTCCAAATCGAGATAACCACACACAGTCTTTACTCTACACTTTTCACTTTTCATGAACAAATCGCAGCACTGCAGGTTTCTTCATTTCAACACTGACACTCCACTGCACTTTGCTGCCCTCCTATGTGCTTTAATGGAACTAACAGTACATACAGTTGAATGCATCCAAAAACACCCTAGCAAAGGCTGGATCACCAAATACCTCACTCTATAATTCAAAAAAAAAAAAGGGCTTTAATGGTCTTAGTGCTTATAGGGTGTTGGTGTTAAACCATACATGTGTAAAACGGATCTCTACTTTTGCTTCCCTTGGAAGAAAGACAAAAAGGTTATATGCAGTTATAGTCTTACCTGAGCCACTGATTTCCAAAGCTAGGTAACCATCAATCAAGGAGCTGAACCCTGTCAGCCCACCCATGGCAGCATAAGGGACATCCCTGCCCACAGGCTGACCCCGTGCCTGCCTCTCCAGTTTTGTCTCAACCTGCCAAGAAGATAGAGCAAACACAATAAAGTTTTATTTGAAATTATGCAGAGTAATAGAAATCTAGATCTAGCATCTGCTTCTTTAACAAGAAGAAAACATGTTTGATGTTTGAGTTGTCTTACCAGAGTCTGGTGTTCAGAGCTGGGCTGGCCACACCCACAGGTGTAGGGACTCTGGAATCCAGAACAAGAACTGCCTGATAAAAAAAGTCAGCAGAACAAGAGTCCACATAGGTGCTGGAGTTCACACTGAGTGGAGTAAACATGTAATACAATTTTAAAATGTAGTGATTTCAGACTCACAAGACTTGCACAAGTGGCCTGCTGCTTCACTGTGATGTTGAGGTAAGTGTTTACACCTGCAGCGCACAGGGTTTGGTCCAAGCCGAGGGACGTACTCGTAGGCAGGGCAACGGCATCCCTTGACTCTGCATGGTAAGGCCAGGGGTCGCTCAGAGGGAACCACTTCCCAGTCTGTTTTATGTTGCTTGTACCTGGATTACATTTCATTACTGAGCATGTGCAAGAGAGAAGGATGTCTGAGTGTGTGAGTTATAAAGGAATGTGTTACCTATGTGCACAGAAGCACTGTGTTTCTGGGCCAATCAGCTTACAGTCAATACCCCCAGGCACTCCATAGCTCACATATAACCGGTTTTTAAGTCGCTGAGAAAACATCTTCTTCCTGTATTCCTCATATTGCTCTGGAGTGAAGAGCTTTTCTCCATCATCATCACCCACAATCCTCCAGAAGACGAACCACCAATAGGAATAATATTACATACAGTTAAATCTATTTATATTCATTGTTTTCCTATAATACGAGCTTATCTAAGTGTAATAGCATGGTCGCTATGTTAACTTTGGCAAAAGCTGTCACGTGACGGTGACTGAAAAACCAAAACCATCAGTCATAAGACACTCGCCAAACAAACCTTCTGTATTCCCAGTAGTCATCAACTGCTTTTAAAGCGGATTGATCGAGATCTATTTTCTCCATGTTGTTAGAGGGTTTAACTTGTAGCTGTAGCTCGCTCCTTGCACAGTAGCTACTCTTTGTGTTTACAACCAGTTTTAAAATTGCCATGGAGATGGTTTTAGACTTCCCTCTAACGGGCGCAGGGTGAACTACACACACGCGCACACAAAGCAATGACGGATTTGTGGCTTGCTATCGTCGTGAACGTTACAATATGCCGTATGATTTTTTTTTACGGAATAAACTCATTGTTACTTAAAGGTTTCCCCTTAAATAATACTCGTAGATAAACGAAAATAATTCAATAAAATATTTGGTTAGAGGCGATACACCACGATAAGTAGGGTATGAATACATTTCCCATAATTCAATAGCACTGACGCATGCACGAGACGTCCAGTGGAACCATGACATTCAGCGCAGTTGCATGCTTGGAATTTAGCTGCCGACTTTTGCATACAGAGACCCCGTCGGTTTTTCGAGGCTGTGTCGGAAGGCGGCGGAATGACTTTGAGCCGGAAAAGACACCTTCACTCGAAGTTCGGTAGCTAACTTTTCGTTAACGGAAACAAAGGGAGGGTGCCGTTCACAACACAGCAACAACAGCCCTGGGTTGCCAAACAACAAGCATCATTCAGTGTCAGCCACCGGTAGCCGCTGGAGCTCACAGTCGCCTCGTCACTGCCTATCTGCAGCCTGCAAATTTCCACTTCAGTTCAAGTTAGTTTCCCAGATAACACGGTGGGTTGAAATGTGTGTTTTTTTGAAAGGTTTTGGGACACGAAAAAGGTTTACCTTCCCTTTTCGCTGTTGACTGTATGGTTTCAGTGCTGGCGAGCAGAAATGTCGAGCTAACGTGAAATATCGACAGAGTTGGAAACCGCTTCAGTGACTGTTAAGTAGTTAAAAACAAATGTCCCGAAATGCCTATCAGAAACGAAGCACACGTGTGGTTTGGATTCGTTTTCAGTGCTGGGTTGGATAATCTACTTTAAACATGTTTATTTTATATTCTGCTAGGTGATAAACAGGTTCAGTAAGTTCTGTATTTTGTTTTTTTGTAAAACCCAAGCACTGTTGACAGTTCGGTATTGCGCACCTGTCGCCCAATTGAACCATTCGCTGACCCTGCCAGTTGTTTGCCTGTGCAGATGACATGTGACAGCTGTTGTGGTCAATATTTAACTTCTGGGATAGATGTGAATGGCTGGTAAGGAGTCCGATAAGCCATGCGCCCGATTAGGCACGCTGTGTTAAACAGTCCTCTAACCAGGTGGAAGATTATTTGTCTGAAACGTTTGTGTTTCCATGAAATTATGGTCCGGTCATGACAAGAGTCTCACTTCCTGACTTACTTATACCGTTACTTTAAGAATTTCTTCCTAGTTGAGTTTGTATTTGCTGATAACTGGTTTTGCCCAGGTCACAGAAAGGACATGTTTGCGTGTATGAGAAGCATCACTTAACAGATTGTGTTACTCATCTTTTCATAATTTATCTGCTCAATCACCATCTCCTCTCCAGCCTCACAAAAAGAAGTGACACTCCCTCACCCAAGAGATTTTTCAGAAAATGAACCTGGTGACAAAGTTGTGAAAGCTGAGAAATTGTCTAATGTGCTTTGACTGTGCACAGTGCGCTTGCAGATTATTTGTCACTATTGTGCCCATTGTGGAATTGGGGTATGAATGCCCTCTGTCTGTTTCTCTCTCCCCTATTTGGAGCTGCAAAGTAGGTACGGTGAAATCTAAACTAGTAATCAGGTTTCTGGGCTAAGAGGGCTGAAAGAGATTTGTAGCTTAGTGTTTGTAACCAAAAGCAGTAAAAGGGGGAAAATGTCACTAGTAACAACAAAGTATTTCAGGAAACCTTGCTATTAATGATAAGATAGATGTGATCATTCACATGAGATTGTGCTTTCATTAACTCACCCAGAAATACTCATTCTGTGAGCCCTTACAAATTTAGAGGATGAACAAAAATGAGACTGCAATGGGTTTAAGCTTTTTTTTTAAGCTTTTTTTTTTTTCTTTTAGTCATGACATTGCAGCACTGCAAAAAAAAAAAAAATCCATCTCATCCATTTTCTTCTGCTCATCCTTATTAGGGTCGTGGGGGGCTGGAGGCTATTCCAGCTACCATAGGGCATGAGATGGTGTACACCCTGGGGAGGTCGCCAGTCTGAAGCAAGGCTAACACACACAGAGAGAGAGAATCAGTCACACTCACATTAACACCTGTGTATAATTTAGAATCACAAGTTAACCTTATCTCACTAACTGCATGTCTTTGGATTGTGGGAGGGAGTTTTGCTGCAGTGTTTAAAGTAATTGTTTTGTCAGATTTTTCATTGCATCCCTAATGTAAGCATGTTTTTCCTTCTATATTAATGTTTTTATTTCTGTCTGTTGTCTTCTTTTTCTTGTTCTTGTTTGTTTGTTTGTTTTTAAAGCATTTTCAGCCATGTCTGCTGATCCCCTGCCTAAAAACCCAGTCTGCATTGGTGATTTGGTCTCACACATCTTGCAACCCAAGCACCTTTCCAAACACCCCTGAGTGCAGATGTCTGTGGCTACACTTCTTGGCTTCTGCTGTTACTCCAGACTTCTTCATATCCCCTCACGATGAGCAGGATGTGCAGCAGACTTTGACAGCTTTGACCTCTGTTTGACTAAGGACAGCAGGATTTGTTTCCTGCAGGAACTGCTACGTTGTCAAGCTGATTGTTTAAAAATTCAAAGAACTCAAGACCTTCAGCCTCAGCCGGGCATTCATAGCCACCTTTCCCCTTCACCACAGTACCATGCTGGCTGCACTACTGCGTAGGAACATGTCTCAGAAGCTGAGTATGCTACTCCTGGCATTTGGCCTGGCATGGGGACTTATGCTGCTGAGGTACACTGTGCAGCAGCCTCGCCATCAGAGCAGTGCAGAGTTGCGTGAGAAGATACTGGAGCTAAGCCGGCGATATGTCAAAGTGCTGACAGAAGAGAACCAGAATGCACCAGGTGGGCCACAAGGAACCTCCATGGCAGGATATGGTAAGAATTTAGAAAAATTCAGAAGTGGTGCAATATTACCATACTTTTTAAATGGAAAGTATGATGATATTGCACCATATTTTACTAATACCTACATGACAAGTGTGTCTCATAGTTGCAAGAAAAGCAGCCTCAAGGACTGATTTTTTTTTTCCCCCCTTCTGTCTTTTTCTCTGTACTTTACTCAAACAGCTGACCTGAAGAGGACTATAGCTGTGTTACTGGATGACATTCTGACACGGCTTGTAAAACTGGAGGGGAAAATTGAACTGGTGGTCAATTCCTCCTCTACAAACAGCTCCCACACAGCAGGGGGCCTGCTTGCATCTGCTCCTGTAGCCCTGCAGAAACCTGTGAAGCAGCAGGAGAAACCTGGAAGTCACCCAGGGACATATCGCCTTCATCCACACATACCTAATAGGGCCCGACCACATTAAGAAGGCCAAATATTATATCTTTTTTTTTTGTTTTTTGTTTTTTGTTTTTTGTTAAATAAGCACACCAAGTTTTACATCTTTCATTGCTAATGAAGCAACATCAGATAAATAAAGAGCTGCAGGGATTCTTATGGATGCCCAGAAGCTTAAGTTATGGAATGTGTCTCAGAAATATTCATCCAACTCAGAAGAAAGAGGACCTCTTTAGTCTCTCAATGCTGATATTTATTTCATTTTTTTGTACCAATACTTCCAGCACATCTTTTTCTTGTTTTGTATTTCCATTGCTGAAACTATTATGCCTATTTTTTCAAATGTAAGGTGACTGTTTAAGTATATGCCAAAAGCAGATGCTTGAAACTGTTCCTGAATTCTAACTGCTTAATCATAAAACCAGCTTAAAATGCTCCCATCGCCAACAAGTTACAGTACTACTTCAACATATCAAAATGCTGTACATGTATGATAGCTTAGAATACAGTTTTAGTTTTTTGCTGCCACGATTGCTAAGAACTAAAGAACTTGAAGATTCTTCCTTTAGCTTACAGCTAATGAGGTTTTAAGGCAAAATTAACTAGGTAGTTTTCTTGTAACAAAAAATCCAAAGAATATTATTTGCACTCCATGTGAAGGCAATATAAATGTGTATGTGCTGTTGCTGTGAGACGTATGGAGAATATCATGGGATGATGCCTATTTGCCGCTGTAAATGCGTGCGAGTGTGTGTGCTTGCTCTGTCTCACTTCAAATCCAGTAGCTCAAAGAGACTGAATGTATATGCAGTGAGTTTTTAGCCCACTAATGCTGTTAGGATAACTGACTCACTGCTTACACATATTCATGGTGCACTGTGATTATAGAAATCTTTTAAAATTAAATCCTCTGCATTGGACCTGTGCTCTTAGCATAGTTAACACTGGTTTGTCCACCAAGAAAGAAAAACTTGTTGGTCGTTATACTGGATTTGCAACATTTTTATCAACATTTCTTCCTTTTTTTTGGCAGGAGGGGGATTATACAAAACACAGCATGAGTGGCAGAATAAAAGTGAGGAAAAATAAGGCAGTTAAAGCAGCTTTGTTTCAGCTTAACAGTATGTGGCGATCACAGGACTAAATAATCGAGTAGTGGCGCGACCTTAATTTGCTACATGATGCAATGAAGTAAAAATGATAAGGTGGTGACCTGATGGGAGATGTCTTTACTCATACAACCCTATTTTCCAAAAAACAAAAAAAAAACCAAACTAAAATAACTGATTTTTAAAAAAAAAAAAAATTAAGCAGTAGCAGCATGCTTCCCAGAAAGCCTAGTCCAACACTAAAAGAAAAATGCAGTTTAGTCCAGTACTAGGTATAATGCATGTCTGGGAATCTTTATTTAAATACAACAAAAAGAGCACTACTATTTGTTCATGTTTTTATTGAGAAGTAGAATAAAAACTTCACCATCTTCCAATGTGTATGAAGAAGGAAAGAAGACACAACTCCAGGAGCATAATGTAGAAAACAACTTTGTTGCTAACCCGTGGACTTTATTTTATGACCTCAAGCTAAAGTGTCACACTGCAGGAATAAAGTTGCTTAATATTTAACTGCAGCTGGACGTTTGTCTTTTTTGTAACTTGTATTTGGTGGCGCTTTTTTTTTCTTTTTTAGGAAATGGGGTTGTAAAGTGTGATTTAGACTTCTGCGGAAAATCTGGCACAACTGACTTTGCAACCGGGAGCTCCTAATATCTACACCGCAACCTTTGTCGCCATTCAAGTCGTTGACCTGTAGTTACGTTTGTCGTGAGGAGTA